GTATTATAAAAATAATAATAGATGTAAAATAATTCGAAATACGTAATCCTAAAATGTAGCATCGTGCTACAGATGGCGTTCACTGTGCCGTTTGTAGTATTTAATGATAGATGTGTTAACTTTTCGATACCATTAATTAGCAACAGCGTACCGTTTGTTTACAATTGTGTCTAATAATCTTTATTTCAATTAGGAAATTTTTATAAAAAATATTCAACTGTAGAAAATAATATAAACAGCGCCTTCTTTTAATTGTGAAGTTTTTTAAAACTTACTCCAAACCAAAAAGTAATACGATCTTGTCTTCATAAGAAGAATAAATAATAGTAACAGACAAATGGGTAGTCTTCACCTGGCAATTCTTGAATTTTAATGCTTCAAATGTTATATAATGTCCTTATTCCCTATTATACAAAGGTAGTACAGCTAAATTATTTGTTTAAAAATGCAAGGTAACACCTCAAATTGGAGAGATCGAGCAATCAATCACTACAGATGAATCATATGTGAAATATGGGGGGGGGGGGGTTCATTCAAATGGCCCGGATTTCGGCTTAGAGATTGAGACTATTGTTGCTTACTCTCTGCTGTTTTCATTTTACCTGTCTCATCTTTCTTATCCCACCATTCACCCATTCCCCTGATACAGCAGTTCTCAAATGATGCGTATACCAAGGAACAGCATTTAATTTTTATTGGGTTATATGGGTTGCCGCGCATCTCTGTCTGGCGAAAGTAAGTAGTTTATTAAACACTCACGATTTTTTGAAACGATTTACTGTTTTATTTATATTTATACGAAGTAGGTATTACCAAAAATGTTTTACGCAATACAATGACTTCGTCCGAATAAAAAAATAGCATTTGTTAGAAATGGAATATTTAAAATTAAATACAAGAATACTAAATAAAAAAAAAAAACGATAGTAAACACAAAAATTAAAATTTGCGGTACCAGTAACTTACCGTAGGTTTAAACTAAAAAAGCTATATTGCAAATCATGCTGTATCAATATCATTGCTTATTAATACACATTCATCATAAACTTGATTTCACAAACTTTGCCTCTTTACATTAGTATAAACAATTAAATTTACTTTTTATTAATTATGCGATTGTGTTTTTAAGTAGTATTAGGTTTTAAACATGGATATGTACAGAAACTAGATTACGCCTAGACGTAAGCATTTGAAACCAATACGGTAGGTAACACATGACTGCAGTTTCTACATAATATGTAGCGACCACCATGATGGTGCATCCACATTTTTCGCTAAAAGAACGTCGCTAAACAAATTTTCGGCAGTAACGTTTAAATATATAGCTCCTGTCAGAAGTTGGTCAAAAAGGAATAGTCCAATGACACGAATGTGTGGAGAGTAATCATAGGAAACCTATCCCAACAGACGGCTTGAGCGCGAGGGATCAATGAATTGGTCTTCAAGGTCTCCTGATCTGACAACTTGTGATTTCTTTTTATGGGGACTTATAAAAAATAAAATTTATGATACACCACCAGAAAATTACTTCATAAAAGGACATTTAGAACAGTTATTGTAAATCAACAGTCATGTAATCTTTCTTTGTTGTACGTCGTGTTTTGTATTTTTTCGAACTTTAGAAAATAATCGATTTTTTCTGGAAAATTATTGAGATAAATATTTAACCTTATGTTAGTTGAAAGGACTTTTAATTTCGCATCGAAAGGTATTATTTAATATAGATCATTTCATTTGAAAAAAAAAGTTATTACTAATTGTTTAAAATAGGTGATTGTCAAAAATAGGTTTCAATATTTCCGAATTTGAATAACGTACACATTTTGCCCATAGCGAATCGCTGGCTTTTAGCTTTTATGGTTTACTTGCTATTTCGTCTTATTAAAAAAAATTAGGGGTAACACCAACTGATATCTACATAAGATCTCAAACCACCACCTTACTACGGTCATTGTTACCTTTATTTCTTCACATTAAAAACATAACACTAATATAAACTTTTCATAAGGTTAAAGTACGTCTTTTGTTAATTTTTCATTTTAAAATTGAACAATTGATCACAAGTTGGACGTGAAATCCATAGACATATATTAATGTAAAACCGAGGGAGGTGGCGTATGGTTTCGGACTAGTGCTATCTTTTTCATGACACGCTTACGCACTATCGTGAGAGATGGATATTATCCGAAACTTCGTTACATCTCTTTCTTTTGTTGTACTACAATTCTGACCGCTAGTCCATTAGTAAACGTCGATAGTGAAATCAACGTTACATTCCATAGAGGAATTCTACGTAAGCTTCAAAATTACGGCAACACTGCTTAGACGGTAGCAGTAAATTTCTCTTAAAATGTATACTTAAGTATCGGGCGAATGCATATGAAATTAAAATTTCTTTCCAGACGCATGAAATAAACTTATATTCATGTATAAAGGATAGAAAGTCGAACTTTCTGTGGAGGTGTGATAAAAATGAATTTTAATTGTCGCCGTGACACCTACTACATACTACAGATTCCAATGTATACTTAATTAAAAAATTAATCTTATGAAGACGGGGACCCTTTAACTACGAAGATGCAACCCCATCTGAACCCTCATTTAATGACGGCACTGCGATACAAATGAATTTAGAAGTCCTTTCTCACCATCTGTACGTCCGGCATGAGTTCAATTTTTTTGCTACCGTCACAAATAATCTTCAATTATTGGGATCCGTCAAATGGGAGGGGCCTAAAACCATGGCGCCGATTAGGGAAAATTTATCGTAGTTCCTATAGTGTACCGTACAATTTCCAAGTTTTTAAATTACGATAAAATGATAAGTATTGACACAATATGTGATTGGGCTGACACAAAGCCTCGGAAAGGAAATTTCGTTGAAGGTGAGCGTGTTTTTAATGCCAATCACATTATAAAATTCGGAAATAACAAATCCGGAAGCTAGCCTTCAAATTCCGTCAAGTTTA